CGGCTAACTTTGCCAAAGTGTATTATAGCCTGAAATAAAGAGTATAATTATTCATTATTTATTTGAACAAGTAAAATTATAATGTGTGTGTACTTGAGCAGAAGCATGAACACCTAATACTGCATTTGTTGATTGTTCGGGTCGGGAACAATATTCAATAACAAATTGATAATGATGTTGTCGCCAAACAAACACATCACTCCAATGACTTAAGTCATCAGCGACAACTGGCAACCGATTCTTCCATGTTTTTAAAATTGCTTTCATATTATGTAATGAATTATTTGTATCTTTTTCTTGCAATCCCTGGTGTATTTGAGCTGCCTCGGATAATTCCATTATCTAAAATAAAAATATCAAAAAAATAATTTCATATGATTCCTATCATTAAGTTATTCCTTGTACTTTACCATAAATTGATAATTTAACTATACACAACAATGGACATAACTTTGAAACCTTCTAAGTTATAACTAAAGATCGGATTTTTATGTTTTTACATATTGTTACTGAGTCTATGGAGTCTTATGAGAGTAAAAAAAGGGGACGATTCGTTCAAGTCTGAGTTTGTAGAAAAAAGTTTTTTTTGCATATTTGAGAATATTTCATGCATTAGAGAATATTAAACTCATTTAGCTAGGCTTGCCATTCGTCCCGGTTTTACCAGGATAGTCCTGGTTTTAACAGCATGTCCAGTGTCCTGGCCAATTATTAATTTTGTCCCGGTTAATGAAAGTCGAGCGAAAATAACTTTAATATTGTATTATTTAATACATATAAATAATAATATAGATGTATTGAAAAAAATCTACTCAACATTAAAATATCAAAATTAGCTTATAAGTTATAACTAATAAATGTAAAATGTAAATGAAATAAATGTAGTTTATGTAAAAAAAATTGTATTGGTTCATTAATTTTAAATAAAAATATTTATTATCAAGATACATCCATATAATTATACTAACTATACTAAAAAAACAAAAATATAATAATATGGATGTCCCGGTTTGGTGATTTTAAAATCTGTCAACCCTACATTTAGCATATTTCGGAATATTTTGAAAATTAGAGAAAAAACATTTATTCATTATTAATTTTAATATTAAGATACCAAGGAAATTTTTATTTTTAAACAAGCATCGTTATAGGGTTTATCGTACGTTTCCGTGTTATTCACTAAACATGTTGGCTAATCTACAGTTGTTTTCATACTGTATAACGTATACGTTTATCAAATAGTTATTCAAAATTCAAATGTCCAAATTTTGATATACACTTTTCAACTTTTGAAATGACATATTTTTACGTGTTAGTTGATTGTTAGTTTTTAAGAATAACAAATTAAATAAATCAGTCAATTTTAAAAACCTATTAACACAATGGATGGGACCATTCAACAAAAAAGATATTGTTTTAACAGTAGACAGCGATTGTGTGGTGTATTGCTAGGTAAGACAGGTAACTGGTAAGTAATACAATTATAATTCGCATAAAGTAATATCAAATAGTACAAAATATTAATGCAACATTATACTGCAATGCTTTAAAACATAAGACAGATAATAAAAAGCAACTGTTTGTAATGGATGTTAAAAGTAAAACAACAAATATTTTCAATAAGGTACATTGAGCTTGACATTTTTGAAAAATAAAGAAAATTGAAAAGGTCAGCCAACAGCTTAAAACAAGTAAAAATATTTTGAAAATTTTAAGTGTCTACAGTTATTCATTTTTGAATTACAATGAAATAAGAAAATCGCAACATGAGAATTCGAATGAATATTCTATGTTGTAGAAATTTCGTCTTCAAACGGTCATAAAAATTTAATTTGACTTTCCGGAAGTAATTTTCTTTTTGATAAGGTTTTATAAGGAATCTTCTATTACATTTTTAGATCTTAAGTATAAAATGAAAAATATTTATGAATTTCTAAATAAATATAATTTGCTAATTTTCGTGATTTGTATGAAGTTTGTCAAAAGTCTAACTTCAGACGCCTATTAAAAAAAAGGAAATCCGCTCGACTTTATTTTTAAATTTCCACTAACAACAACTTACGAGGAACTTTGTATTACATTTTCAAGTTTTTTGTCGGATTTTTATGGACATTAATTTGAAAAAAAAAAAATAATAATCATCAAAAATTGCATATGCCTATAACTCAACATGAGTAGAAATATTTTGAAAATTTAATGGTGTGTAGAAAATACTAATACAAACATTCAGTGGAAATGTTATGTACCTGCGGTCATTTGTATTAGAGTTACTCCCAAAACTAAAATACATTTTGTCGAAAATTGGTTTCGCGTAAAAATTCCCATTTTCCTTAATATTTTGTTTGTTTTTCCAGTCGCTTTTGTAAATTATTGGGAATTTTAAATTTTGATCTTCGGAATGCGCCAACTAGATGGAGGGGAAATAAGTTTGAGACGTTTTGCAGAACGTTTATAGTTACGAGTTTGGACGAGATTGTCACACGTTATTTGTATTTTTTATATAAATTTCCAGATGTACACCGGTTGGGGGAGAGAGCAGAGCCCCCACGAGTCGATACATCCTTCAACTGGAAGGGCTAAAGCCCCCCCAAAAAAATTGACCACCCTACGCCTATGCGTTTGGTTTCAGGATTTTCAAGAAAGAAATTGGAAAGTATCGATCCCTATAGGTACAATCTTCAATATCGAGTGTTCAAAAGTTACATGAATAGTGCGGTATACCAATGCCGTCTCAACGTTTTTTGACGGGGGGAAATTAATATGTGAGGACCCTTCGACTATCATAAAACGGCATAACTAAGGCACTAATGAACAGGACCCCCCCCCCCCCATCGCGTGAACACCATTGTACTGCACTACATTTTCATTAACTTCTTAGAAATGTATTGCCAAATAAAGTGAAAAATACAATTTATCTTAGATAATAATAAATGCTCACGATTTTCTTTTTAATGGGGGGGGGGGGGGGGCTAAAAATATTCCAAAAATGGGGCCTGAGGCAAAATGTTTCCATTGACTCCGCCCCCTGGATATACCATAAAATCTTTAACTATTTTACATTATAATAGACGGGACGTGGTTGTAATTCCGGCGTCCAAGAGTGTGAGCGGTGAATGCTGATCAAGGTATCTAGTACACAAGGTGGATAATATATATCCACCAATTTTACCCTGGTAGCATGCAAGATTTATAGTCTTATAGATCCTAGGTAGTACATATTACATAGTACCCCAGAGATGCGCACAAGAAATATGGGATGGTACAATAATTTTTGATTTTATAGTACATATAAGTATAGGTATAACCATAACTAGGAACTCACTATCATGATTTTTACAGTTATACAATGCAGTAATATACATATTAATATACGCCTAGTTAATTATAGCATAGAACAATTATAGGTCTTTGGCCTATATATTAGTATGGTAAGGTTAAGTTTATCTATTCTGGGTATACCAGCGAAACGTATCAATCGGCAACCCGTATATGCACGTATCAAACTATAGACTTTTCGATATGCGTCGGTACGTAATCCGTGTCGTAAATACTTAACCTTGATCTAGAAAATCTCTTCATGGTCTTTAGCGCAGTCTTAGAAGACAAGGTCGGACAACATCCCCCCGTCAGACATTGACATTGTTCCGCTTATTTGTTGAAAACGTTTAAAAATGTCACCACATTTTGAAAGAGCGCTACTATTTTTTTATAGTTTAACATTTTTATGGTTAGGAATCGTAATAATGGCTTATCAAATAATTACCGCCAAATATTATAGGGATTTGAACTTTAATTGATATTAAGCATTTGTACAATATAATATTATTTTTATATTTGTTTTACATTAACAGTGGCGCCGACCAGGTAATTGATCCGACATATTATGTCATAATAGATATTTGAGATGGGAGGCCCCCACCGAACCAGTACTGTATCCAAAATTAATTTTAAAATGTAAAAATTGCAATATGATGCTTTGATTTGCATCTGATACTTGAATTATAAAAATGGGGGGATGATGTACGATGTCATACTATATTTTAAACACTTCGGCGCCAGAATAAGGCAAACAGAAAAAAAAAATTGGCAAGTTTTATAAAACTTAGCAAAAATGTAACTGATTTTTTTCACAACTTCAGAGGCCGTTAAGGCCCATTTCTGCATCACACACTTCCTTCCAACTCTCTCTATACATTGCTATTACCCTGTAGTTTTCAACTCCTAACGACGTTAGATCCTTTAAGACTTTATCAGACCATCGTTGTTTACGTCTGCCTAAGGGCCTGTTTCACCGTGGCTTCCAACTTAGGAACTCTTTTGCAATCATATTAGACCTTAGTACGTGACATAGCCAGCTTAGTCTTTTGGCTATAATTACTCCAATTATATTAGGTTCTCCAAAGGCATTGTACATATCTTCATTTGATCTTATTTCATACTTTTGTGCTACATTATTTATTTTAGGTAATTTCAAGCTTACCAGTAATAATAGTTCGAAAAAAAACATGAAAATGGAATAATTTCTGACTTAGAGTTACTTGGAGGAACTTCATATACTTGCAAAGTATCATATTGTATTATTGTAAATAGTAAATACTATATATAGTTCTGTAATCTGTATTTCGTGATATTAAGTTTTAACCTAACCTAAAATATGTTTAACTGGCAGCGCTCAATTTTACAGTGGCAACATTTTAAGCGTATTTGCACATTTAAGCGGAACACTGATAAGATAGAGTTGTCCGACCCTATCTTCTAGGACCGTGGTCTTTGGCATAAATAATGTTATTGAGTTTACTTATGAAGTTTTTTTTTATTATAATAGAAAAAGGGAAATGGTAGACTTACAAAGAAAAATTAGTTATCTATGGTTTTCATGGGTTTATTAATTATTATAAACATTGAGGTTATGTTTATAAATTATTTAAACGTATTTTTTCTTATCATGGTTCATAAAAAATTATAGATAAGAATTAAGAATTTAATCATGAACATTATAATATTATATATTTTATTTATATTGTCAATGTACATGAATTTAATATTATATTAAACCGAAAAATGTTATCCTGTGGTATAATTCAAATAGGTATGTAGAAAAATGGTTAATGCATTTATCATATTGTATGTAATGATGTGATTTTTGAATTGTAATTAATGTTAAGTTATTAGTGACTATTGACATATAGTATCAATAAATTATGCAAAATGAATCTCATTTTAAAATATATTAAAAGAAAAGTGTTATTATATTGGATATTAAGAATTTGTGTGATAAGTATATTTTTAGTTATTGGTATTGTTGCATATATTATTTTGTTTCCATCAATAATATACATAAATTCAATTGATATTCCAAGATTTTTAGTCAAGACCAGTGCTGGTGAATATGAACTTCTCAATACTAGTACATGCCCAATAGTTGAAATTAACGAAGAAACAAGTCTAATAAACGTGCAAAAAACTGTCAGCAGTAAACAATTGGACTTTATTAAGCAATTTGTTTCTTCAGGTGGGGAATGGATGCCAAAACATTGTATACCTCAACATCATACCGCAATCATAGTATGCTATCGCAATCGAACAGAACAACTTCAAACCTTTTTATATCATATGCATTCATTTTTACAAAAGCAAAATATACATTATCAAATATATGTTATAGAACAAACATTCGATGCTGAATTTAACCGTGGAAAATTATTTAATGTTGGTTATCGAGAGGTTACAATGAGGTCTCTAGCTGGATGTTTTATTTTTCATGATGTTGATCTAATGCCAGAAAATATAAACAATATTTATGGTTGTACAGCCTGTCCAAGACACATGAGTACTAGTATAAATGTTTTTAATTATAAACTACCATATTATAATATATTTGGTGGTGCTATTGCAATGACGCGAAGACAATTTCATGACATTAATGGATTTTCAAATGTGTTTTACGGATGGGGTGGCGAGGATGATGATCTGTTTAACAGAGTTTACCATAGAGGTTATAGAGTTTGTCGATATCCATCATTTATATCGAGATATACAATGTTAACACATGAAAAAGAAACACCAAATGAAAATAGAATGAAATATTTAAGAAATGGTCCAAAACGATTTTATACTGATGGTGTTGATTCAGTTACTTACAATTTGATCAAATATGAACAATTACCGTTATATACAAGAATATTAGTCAATGTTTAAAATAATAATAGAAATGATTAAACCCAAGAAAAAACCACAATGAGAGGGTGACTCATTCATTAGTTTATCAAACGGTATATCATAATATTAGGCAATGGAAATCTTTATGTATTAGAAGATTTTCTTTTTATATCGTAACTACTTATCACTTTTTTAGATTAGTTTAATATAGCTATTTATTTAAGTATTAGATGGGATAACTATGTATATAATTGATTATTATAATTTAAATAAACTACTTATTTTACAACTAACACAAGGTTAGAAACTGTTATGTTAACTATAATTTAACCAATATTATACAGTATGCAATTAAGTTAGGGATCTTATCACGTCTAGTTCTAAATAAATATATTGAATTATTAAATTAAGTTATTTACTATACTTCAAAATGTATGTTTGCATAATAAAAAATTTAATGATATTAAATAAGTCTGATCTTAAATTTAAACATTAATGTAATTATTGCAAGAAGTAAAGTGAGAATTGAGGTAGAATATAAAAAATGTTAACACTACATAATATTATATCACATTAGTTAGGTAATTATGTTCATATTTCACTCTAATTTAAAATTGTACTTATAAATTATAATCAAAACAAAATTTATGTATAAGCAATTTTATAATTTTTATTTTTAGTTGTTTTGTACTGATAGTATTGTATGTAATAAATAAATACTATTATTGATGATTTGTATTGTTTGAATGAAAACATTTATCATAATTATAGTTTTTTTTTTTGTAACAAACAAATTATTTTTGTACTTAATTGTTTTTTCATTATTATCTTATAAATTTAAAATCCATTTATAAATGTATGAACAGATAAAATAAATTAGAGATAGCATTGCGAACAGTTATCTGTAGTATAATTAAAAACATAATCCTGTTACATTTTCTCGAATACATTTTTTTGTTGGTATTTTGAAAAAATACAATGAAACAAAAAGGTACGATTTGTTTAATCAAGGAATAATATTGTAAATTATAATAATTTGAAAAGAGATTGAGAAGAAAACATCTAGTAGCAGCACTCCTACAAAAATTTAACTTTCTCAAAATAAAATAAAATATTATTTTTATGAGTATCGCTTAATAGAATTGTTTTCATTAAACTCAATATCAACTTTTTTTTTAAACCAATAGTTTTTTTTTTATATGTTTCTAATTATATATAGAAGAGGACAATTATTTATAAAGTAATGTAAAGTATGTATCGGAATAAAAATAGAAATCTCAAAGTCATAGTAGGTTATAAATGATAAAGCTTCCTCATTTAAATTATCAGTTACTTAATTGCATTAAAATTCTAATAATTGTCTACTCACACACTACTATATGTATTATTGATCACATTGAACTTATAGTATTTATGATACTATGTATTCATTTTTTTTTTTATTTACCTGTTGGGAAGCTTGAAGATATGGCAAATGTATATGTGATACAATATGTGGTAATCGTCTCCACTCTCTAATTACATGTATGCTAGCCATTTCTACATTTCGAGTAACATATGGTAAATTTGGATCGTCTGGATGACAAATTGCCAAAAATCCTCTGTATAAATACATCTAATTAAACAAAAGTAAATGTTAAGTACTTAAAAAAAAAAAAAAAAAACCATAATACAACAAAATATTTTTTCAATACCTTCCACAAAAATTCTTTAGGGCATGTATTATCAACACAACTCAATGCTTCATTCATCACAAGCCAATCTGGTATACGCCAAGCACTGTCGAGTATTAAAAATGGGTTGAGATGACCATTAAGTTTTGAATATTCAAGTAAAATGTCCCATTGATTGAGCTCTTTTGAACATCTTTAACATACAATGTTATAATGTATATAAATGTATATAATTTTAAATAAATAACTTACCTAATCCATTGTGATTCCCATAGGCGTGCTTCACTTAAGACCATGACTGATGCAGGAGAACTGGAAAATTCACTTTGATATTTTTCAATCAAAGACTCATAAGTAGATAAAGCTTGTTCAAATAACCCTTGTTGTTCTAATGCAAGAGCAATTTTAGTCTCTCGATATTGAGCATGTTTTTGCCACAAACCAGCCCACATATCTTCTTCTTTAAGCTGTTTGTACATCTCTGCTAATGTATCAATGACATCCTATAAAAATTTATTTTGGATAAAGTAAAATTTTAATTATAAATTTATTTGTAAGAACATACTCTCTGAGGAGATATTTCTGGTTCAAATTCATAACAATCTTGTTTTGTTACTTCAAAGTTATTTTCTATCATCATTTTTTCTAAAGATAAAGTTACACGGTGCCATAAATTATGAGATTTACCAACATACAACATGACACTTGGTTTAAAATGTATTTTCGGTTGGCATTGAAATAATGCTTCAAAGAATGTAGATATAACACTTGGATGAACATCTCTTTGAACAACATGTATACCACTTACAATAAATTGATTAATTTCAGGCAACAATATCTAAAATAATACATTTATACTTAATGATCTAATATACATGTATACATGTTAAAATGAAGACACAATCAAAGGTATTATAGCAATGAAATAATTGAGTATTTACAGTTTTTTGTGTGGAATTTAAAGACTCCCATATAGCGGGAAATAATACAAGCCAAATTTTTTCTGCTAAGCTTGAATCCATATGACACAGTTGGGCTATGGCTGAACAGATATCTCCAAGTTTCATTGCTTCTAGATTATCCATAAATTTAATGTGTCTGCTAATCAATGGTTCTAGTTTTCCACCCTCGACAACTTCAATGTTATCAGTTACTATTTGATCAGTGTCCATTGCATACTCTGATTTGACTCCAATATCTTCATTAGTATTAAGAATTTCTTCAATGAAAGAAGTATCACAGTTATTGACTAGTTCTCTAATCGTTGGCAATTTTGACGAAGTTGATGAGTTTGAATCTTTTAACGTCACGGATAAATCTATAACACATAGAAGTAATATTTATTTTAATAGATAGTCAGTGAGAAAAAATAAAGACATAAGAAACTTTATCAATTTAACTTATAACAAAAGTTTCTTACTTGGATCAACTGTAGCTAATAATAATTCAATGCATTGTTTAATCCAGTAATGAGTCATCATTGGTTCCCAGTTTTGTGAACTCACTATGTATAACAAGCGTTCTGGTAATCTTGTATTAATTTGTTGATTGAATAAAGTGAAGAATTTTTCACGAACAGCAGGTTGTGAACACCTCAAACCACTTAAAAAGGCTGCTTCCAATTTATGTCCAAGTTCTGAATTACGTAACTCTTCATCTCTAAAGTATATTTTGATTAAAATAGTTATTATTATGATGATCATTATGTACTATTTAATAATAACAATGCCATGTTGGTATAAATTATAAATTTACAACCAAGTATAAAATAATAAACTAATTCTCGGACATAAAAATTCATGGCTAAAATAAAATCACCTATAAATGTGAATAATAATATCCAAATATTGAGCATTAAGATCAGGAAACTTTTTTTCAATATGCTGCATGATTTTTACCAATAGTATAGATTTTTCACGCAAATTGGGTCCTTCATTTGGAGGATTATGCATCCATTCTTCTAACATCTAAAATACAGAATATAATAATTAAAGTTTTTTAGTTATACTTAAATATTAAACTATACATTTTTCTATTAGAGATTGATTTAATTGCTGTACATGAAAATATAAAACCAAACATCAGAAATATAAATATGAACCAATACTACCAAGTTATTTATTTTTATAATATTAATTAAATAATTTAGTGTAAATAAATCCCATTTACTTTCTTATGCATTAGCACTCTTCGGTTATTGAGCTATATAAAATACATTTTTTATACACACATTTTATATTTATATTCAGCGTTAAATTCATTAATTTCATCTGTCTATAATTAAAATGTTAATTAAACATATTAATTTATTTTATTTCGTTCGATAATACTATTAAAAATCCTAACAAACCAGTGTGTAAAGTCTCTTTTATAAAAACTTTCATAACTATTAAAATCCACTCTAACTTCTCCTGTTGTCTCAAAATTTGTGCTAAAGGGAACTCTTTCGTTTTTGATGTTATGATAAAAAATTAAATCCACACAAAAAAATAAAATGTCAGTAGATAGTAGGTGTGCCATGTACAACCAATGGGTAGTTTTTTCTCAAATTAAATTTCTCATTGTAGATTGTTTGTACAGATTGTAGTTTTTCAAATAAAAAAAAAAATTATAAAACATACTTTTAAAATTGTTTTCATTATTCTTGAATCATTTGTTTTTTCAATTAATCCAACAAGGATAGTCCCAATAAATGTTTTTCGAGTTTCAATATGCATGTTTGTAACTCTATTTTTCATCAAATCTAGACTTTGAATAACTAGCTCACTTATTCCCATTGAAGATTCTGTGTTAGTAGATTGTGGCTGTTCACGACATACTTTTTGTAGAACATGTACAAATCGCGAAGACAAGTTATCAATAAAAGCCGCATTGTTAGCACTGGCAGCTTTTAACATTATTACACATGTTAAAAATCGATTATAATTTTGTGAAATATTTTTCTCAAAATTGTTTAAACTTTCATCAATCAACTGAAATTTATAGATAGTAATAAGTTTTATAATATTAAACATAATGTAATACACATAATAACATACCACATTTATTAAAATATATAGTTCTTCAAGTTCAATAAGATATGGCTTTATCATGGGGAAATTAAAAATTAAACGTGTAAGAAATGCATGCGCCATTCGTCCAATCTAAAATAACATATATCCAAAATAAAAATGTAATAAAAACTATATATCGATTGCAATTACCTTCATATTAGTGGTACTAATGCATTCATATAATGCTTTTTGAAGAGGTTTAATTGTGATTAAAAGTTGTTCTTTTGGTAATGCAGTTAAAAAAAATGTTAAAACGTCAAAAGCTGACGCAATATTTGCAACAGACATGGCAGTAGTAGGATTATTAGCAGCTGGTTCCAAAGTTGATACAGCGCAAAATGTTTTGTCCATCCATGCTAATTTTATCATATCGATACATCTGGACATTAAACCTTCTGATTTCATAGCAGTCTTTAATAATGCAATACATCGTTTAGATAGTAGTTCTGCCAAACCCCCGGCAACACCATCATTTACCTAAAAACATGACATTTTTCACAAATGAATAAATAATTAAAATTAATAAATAAATCAAAAAAATTAAAAACAAACCTGACAAGAAATTTTGGCTAAAAAGTTGAAAACAACTGCAAAATCGTTTTTGTTAATAGGTATATCTTTGTCATTATCATCTAACTGTAATAGGGCTGAAGGTTCAAGTTTAATTTTTTTTACAATTCCTTCCATAGAATTCTAAAATATATAATATAATTTTTGTAAGTAAACTATAAATGTATAATATTAGGTTAAACACAGTTTAATATAAAAAAAGGCATTTAATTACTACAAAGTTAGTTATGTGAAAGGAAGAGGAGTTGGAAAACATATAATGAGTCAAATAACCTATGGATAAACAATGTGGCAAACATGTGTGTTGTGATGAACAAACAACATCCAAAATAAGAATTAAAGTTAAATATTATAAAACTGCAGTAGTTAATATG